CTGTGCATCGTGGGTTTTTATTTCCGTTGGTGTGTCTTTAATTTGAGTCTCCTGCATTCTGGCCGGCCTCTTCACCTCGTCACCATCCAGCCATTCTGCACATCTGTGGTGTTTCCATCTGGATGCTGCCCCCCCCCCCCTGTGCTGTGGTGATGTGGGGCTGTGAGGGCAGGAAATCAGGAACAGGTCTCAGCAGCAAACGCACACAATGCCTCACTCTGATTTTATGTCCAGGAGCAGAGACTCTGGGTTTGCGTCTCTGATTTGAAACTGATCTCCTGATCTCATAGGTTTTTACACGATTAAAAGCTGTTTGTAAAGTTAACAGTTTTTAGCCACGTGTTAAATCGTTGTTTTGAAGAAGTATTTATACTTTCTCCAGAATTTGACATAATTTTTCAAATTTAAAACAAGAAAAGTCTGTCTGAAGTAATAACTCTGCGTTTGAAAGAGCAACCGCATGCTAGCAGCTCGGAAGATATTAAACATGACAGGCGCTAACGGTAGCATGCTAACGGTAGCATGTTAACAGGCTCACAACAAGGAAGCTAACAAGTTGAAGCATGATTACAGTTTAATATGTTAGCATGCTGAACAACAACACCAGCTAGTGGATACAGCTAACATAAAGTAGCATTAGCTAAGGTACAGCAGGAGCTGCTAGCCTCATAATCAGTACAATAAAGAATAATTACACAAATAAGCACCTTTCCTGGCTTTTTAGCTAATGGATGCTATTCCAACTGTAATTACTCATCCTTTAAAAGGGGCACAGAGGCTATATTTATTTAAATTAGTGTTGTGTGCAGCCTAGATTTTGTTTGTTTGATCTAGAAATGCAGTTTTATTATCTCTAAATTTAATGGTGAAAATATATCATTTAAGCCATTTTACAGAGCAGGAAAGCTGCCAATAGTAAATATCATCACAAATTAGTCTAATACGGTCTCTGTACGGTCCTTTATGTTCAAGGTTAAGTGTTTCTCCAGTCTGGGATGAAATTTACCCCCCCAGCAACTAAAATCAAACACATTTAAATGGTCTGTTCATTGTCAAAAGCAGGATTTGACCATAAACTTGGGTTATTTCCCATTCTGCTCCCTGGTGAGCCGTCTGTGGGGTGTTATTCGGATGACGGTACAGGGAAAATGAATCATCCACTTCACCACAAAGGCTGAAATTCAACCGGTCGGGAAGCAGTTTTCTCCAGTTTGAATGGGAGATAGATGGTTTAAAATGTAGCAGGAAATTGAAAAAGCAGCTACCTGAGCAATGACGACTGAGAAAATCTGATGTCAAATTAAGCATTTTAATTTGTAGGCAGGACAGGAGCTGTCTTTTCTCCCAGAGGAGCTGCAGAGACATTCAGAGCTTTAATCCGACTCGTTTCATTCACACATGAGCTGCATCGTGTTCGGTTCAGATGTGTCACGCTTCATAACGGGTCACCTTTTGAAGGTCTCTGCCCCCACCTCACTAAAGACACAGCAGAACCTCTACCTATGACTACCTAAACATAGGAATTTTCCAACATCCGAGGTGAAATTCGATCCAATATTCGACTCGACACCCAAAATAGATGTATTCATAAATTCATGACGTGGAAGGCATAGAAAAAAAATATACGTATAGAAATTTAATGAAAATAAATATCTACGTGAAAGTTAGAGTACGTTCGGGTAAGTCCTGTATCTCAGTCTCTACCTGCCAATAAAAATCCCTTTTTATTGATTATTTCTTTATAATCTATTTCTTTTGACATTTCTCTTATATAGTGCATTTGTTTTATTGCTATGTGTAATTATCTGCAGTATTTATTAAGGAGTTATCGTAGGTTTGTGGGCTTTGGAACGAATTATAGAAATTACAGTGGATTCTGATGGGAATATTTAAACCAACATACGAATATTTTAACATACGAAGTAGGTCCTGGAACAAATTAAATTAGAGGTTCTACTTAATGACAGTGGTGAGGCTATAGGGCATGAGAGGCAACCTGAGGGCGTGCGGGAGGGGCTCCAGAGCTGCCAGCCCTGAGAGGGGGGGGCCATGTCCCACAGATGCCTGCGGCTGCCGGTCGGTCGGCCGGTTGGTCGGCAGGCAGCAGCTCGGCCGCATCTTGCCGCATTACAGAGGAGGAGGAGGCGGGAGCCGGCTGTTGCCTGGCAACAGAGGCAGCAGGGTCATCGGTTAGTCATAAAACACAGCGAGGGGACGGCGGTGCTGCAGAGACGGCTGCTTTGGGCCTCCAGGAGATCAGCAGAGGACAGAAAAAACCACCTGCGCTGTGGCTTTAGGACAGGATCTGAAAAGGCTCTGGGTCCTGTTGGGTTCGGCTGGTTCGGCTGATTGTAGGAAACGGTGTAAACATCAAAGCTTTTCCAGAGAAGGAGCTGATGCAGAGCTGGTTTGGTGACGCAGAGGAGAGCAGCTGCTGGAAAAGGAGGAGCAGGTGAACAGGAGCAAGACGTGACGATCCAGTTCAGGCTGCTTCCAGTTTTCAGGCTCCATCAATAGTCCAGCGGCAGGACTGGTGCTCATTTATGGGCCTAAAAGCTGCTTAAAAACAGCTTAAAAGCAACAAATGTGGAGCAAAGAGCTGCAGTAAGAATCAGAAGTGATATATTCAGCTTTATTTATGAGGTGATGCTGAGCGGGTCCTTCTGAAAACTGACCAAATAAACAAAAACGGGCTCAACAAATGAGTCCGGATGCTCAGAAACACCATTAAAATCTGCACTTTGAAACAATAAAACTGAAATGTGCGGCCAATGAATTTGTCTGTAGAAGTTTAACGTGATGCTGATATTTCCTCGCTTATATTTATCTCTTTGAAATCAGTGTTCAGCTTTCCTTAATTTGCATAAAGAGGCCAAACTACACGTACAAATGTATAAATTAATGACACTTGCGGGGAAACGGGGAGATATTACACACCCAGAGAATAATCAGATGTAGAAATCTATAAATTATAGATGAGCTTTAATTAAAAAGTATGGAGGGAGAACAGGGGGCGGGGCTAAGAAGGCAGAGCCAGCTGATTGGCTTACAGGCCTTCCTGGTGCCAATGGAGGAAATTCTTGAATGAAGCATTAAGCTGAAACGGACAGAAAAAACAAACTCATACAAGACTTTTTACTCTTCAGTTTGTGGAGAAACTTCAGATTTATCCAGACGTTTCTCATAGATGGTTCATTTTCCCACAATGATTTGAGTTTTTATACTTTAAGAATGATAATAAAGTATAATCAGAATCATTGCTGCTCACCGACAGCTGGGGGAGACGGAAAAGGTGTTTAAAAATGTCATCAAACACACTTATTCCATCTTTAAAGACCTAAACCAAGTTCCAAGTGGAGAAGCGACAGACACAGGATTTATTACACAGAATACTAATATCAAACCCCAATAAGGGTTTTCTCTGGAGCCTCCTGTCCTATTGGTGGAACATTGACCACGTCTTCTAATCAGAGCACAGCATTGTGTTGCTGAGGGAAACGGGCAGATTGTCTGGTGGCTGTTTGCTCAATCAGTTTTAAATGTCTCATCTAGTTTTTCATTCTTACTCATAAAAATGGTTCTGGTTGTGTGGAGCCTAAAGGGGGTCAGAGGGCCTCTGGTTTCTGATTGGCCCTGATGGCCCTCTGGTATCTTATTGGCCCTGATGGCCCTCTGGTTGCTGATTGGCCCTGATGGCCCTCTGTTTGCCGATTGGCCCTCACGGCCCTCTGGTTGTCGATTGGCCCTGATGGCCCTCTGGTTTCTGATTGGCCCTGACGGCCCTCTGGTTGCTGATTGGCCCTCTGGGTGCTGATTGGCTCTGATGGCCCTCTGGTTTCTGATTGGCCCTGACGGCCCTCTGGTTTCTGATTGGCCCTGACGGCCCTCTGGTTTCTGATTGGCCCTGACGGCCCTCTGGTTGCCGATTGGCCCTGCTGCCCCTCTGGTTTCTGATTGGCCCTCCTGTCAGCCCGCAGCCTGCCCCTGAGCCCCTGGGAGAGCCGCATCGTGGAGCGACTCATGACGCCAACGCTGTCCTTTCTGAACCGAAGCCGCAGCGCCGCCACCCTGCTGGGGGGGGGCCGACCCAGGTGAGTGTGACCCCTGACCCCGTAACCCCCCCTGACCCCAATCACCCATAACTCCCCCCATAACCCCCACCACCTATTAACTCATTGGCTGCCAAAGACGTCTATAGACGTCAATTCAAATACAACCGTTGAATATGTTTTTCAACAAGAGTGGCTTGGGGGACGATCTGCTAAAGCTTGTCCGTAAATATCAGGCTTCTAGACAGCGTATGTAGTAACAAATTGACCCTCTAGGTGGCAGTGCCACTTTTGATGGGAGATGAGCATAGACTGTAGGCAAATAAGAAAAAGGTAACGGTTCGCTATGAGAGAACATGTCGCCGGTGAGACGCAAGTCGAGGAAGAACGGAATAAGATAGAAACAAATGTTTTTTTCCTGATGAAAGAAGAGAGTCTACTCTTTCTTTTGGTGTGT